TGAGAGCAGTCGTTTTACGGAAATTATTCGACATTAGATTCTAACACCAACACTGTAATTTCTCACGCGGTTGCTTAATCGTCAAGATGGCTTCCAAAACCGTGACAAGGTCTATTAGACTGCCATGTGTTGGCGCTTTTTTGTTTTCAAACCAAAATTCTATCAACGTTTGTCAGACATCAAAAGGGCCTCGTAACCTGTTCCAGGTGTTTTGATCATGGGGACGGCGCTATAAGATGTGAGCAGAAAAACACTATGAGGGGGTGGGGTAGGGATTTTTTCCCGCTCTCTGACCGTCACACCTCACTCCATTCTAAATCCCAGCGCAGGCTACTTCCCAGGAGGCCCCACAAACTTTTGTCTCACCTTTCCATCCCTCCCTCCCAAAAAAGCTGAAAGTCAAAAAATCAATTTTTGAACGTAACTCGGTTGCAGCGAAGTAGATTTTTATACCAAGATGCTGAGTTTTTCGCGAAAATCTAGGGATACTTTCTGCTCAGTTTGACTTGCATAGTTCAAGTTTGTGAAAAGTTAATTTCATAGTGGTAAGGCACATAATTATTTTTCAGTGTTTGTAGTAGGGACAAACAAATTTTGGATTTCTACAACTTTTCTTCAAGATTTTGCATGGAACGATCGATCGATTTGAAGATTGTTTGGGAGAATATCCTGTTCGTGTACTTTCTGTGGCTGTTGTTTAACGATGCGTATTTATTTTAATCTTTTTTGTGCTTTAAATATATAGGACTATATTTTAATTTCAGTAAACTGTAATAAAGAGATTTGGCGTCTGTCTTCAGATTAACTGTCTGGTTCCATGAAGGCCCAAGCATTTTCAATTGAGGACTCCTTATTTTGTTCAACTCTGACTCACTGGTTCCGAACAGGGACTCGTGACTTTTCACAAGATGATGGTGTCACCATAACTGGTAACAAAATCACTGAGAGTTTTAATGTTTTTAATTTGACTAGTTTTTATTTTCTTGCTAGCGTTTGGAAGTTTGGCTGTTATAAAACAAAAGAGAAAGAAGAAGACAAAACACAAAAGACGACCAAGATGAGAAGAGGAACTACTGAAGGAAGTCTGAGCTTAAAGAAAAGTACGATGAAACTCATCTGATAGGTGTGGAGACTGTCGTTGCTTGTTTAAGAACGTCGAATATACACCTGGATGCTTATTCTCGTGTCTGAGGAAGGAAAGACGCTTGTGTCATAGAAGTGGAGACTTTGTCGAATGACTTTCATGGATACGCGGCGGTTTCATCTGCTAAAACCACATCGGCACGATAAACAGTTACGTCTTGTATCGCTATATTTCCTCTCTATTATTTCGTTCCTCTTCAAGTTTTGAAAATATTTATCTGTCACTGTAGGGAAGTCTGAGGTTGGTTTCACCTTGTGCCGACCTTGACAATGGTTCAGTCTAGTTACCTGGGTCTTGTTATTCTGTTTGTTCTGTGCCGTTGACTAATCTCCAGTTTCCTGTGGTATTGAGACGTTTTCGCCAACGTGAAAGGATCATAAAGGTGATAAAGACTGTTAATTTGACATTCGATGGTATAAGCAGAAAAAAACTGCATTACTTTTAACCTATGGGCATGATATTTCTTGAGATGGCTAACTCGATGGATTTTTAGAAAAGAACACACAATATGCAAATGAACTAGTAAACGTGATCAAACTTTGACGCATGGCACTGTTTTCGTTACTGTAATAGAACCTAGCGATGTTGGGTGCACAATGTACATCTCATAGGCGCCATAAACCGTTCACAAATGAAGAAGAAAATATATCATTTTGGTAGTTTTGCTCGAAATTTTTATCTTTCAGTGGTAAAGGTGAAGGTTCCGCACCTGGGAATCAAACTCTAAATCTCCCGCACATATGGTCGCGTATTCAAACGACTGTACTGTTCTTTTTCCCTAATGACAATCGGTAAAATGTTAATAGAATTATTCTTGATTTTCCTGTCCTGCTTGGAGCGGAATCTGTCCCCACCCCCATATTGATGGTTGCACCTGAAACGCAAAGGCCTAGTCATTCATACGAAGGTTAAGTTACAAAGCGACTAGACAGTTAACGTTAGTCTCCTGTTGATCAGCAAATTTGCTTACAAGCCGAGTGTTTTTGCCTTAGGCACAACTCCAAGACGAAGGGAAAGGTTGTAACCTCCTTTAATTAAAGCTCCCTGCAAACTGACGGAAAGTGTTTGGCCAAGAACTCTTAACATTGTTGGGTGTTACATGTTGCGTCCGTTTGCAATCTCTGTCGGTTGTTGCGCAAAGTTTGAAACCGGTCAAACTCTTTGAGTCAACAACTCCCAACGATATTCCTTTTGTTCCGTGACTGTTCCGACGCGTAGCCCTGTATTGTTGAATCCGTTGTTGGGGCCGCTGTTGGTCTCCTTGAACATCATTCAAGATGCCAGCTGTTAGACTCTTCAGATTTAGTGAGGTGCGAACACGCGCCTTTAGCCACGCGCGTGTTCATTTTCGTTTCTCGCGCGTTTCGCTCAACAGACTATGAAAAAAGAGAGTCTGCTCGTAGTCTAGATGGCTGTAGAATTCTGTAAGTTTACAGCCTTACGGGTCGTATCCATCCCATGATGCACTCTAAGTTCCACCCCTGTTTGGAGTTATTGCATCCGTTTACATATCACCGTCAACACTATCCAACGACTCCCAACATTTTCGGGCTAACAAATGTTGAGAGTTGTTGCGCAGTCTGTATAATCGGGAACGTTTTTTGTTGCGTTATAAAGTAGAGCCTCCATAAAGCGGCCACCCTCGGAGTATCAGCAAGTGTCTGCTTAATGGAGGTTGGTCGCTCAATAGAGGTTTGTCATAAATTAGCATATTCTTTATAGCAGAAACATCACCATTTTGAAAAAGACGCGCCACGAAAGAAGCATTACTGGTCCACAATCGGTCATCAACTTCTATCTGGGACTGTATCCCTTCATCATACTTTTGAAATGAAGCTAAACTAGTGTATCGAGCGCTTGGTGACCACTTTATAAAGGTGACAACAGTGGAAGAGCTCTCATGATTGAGACGGTCAAGAGTCTTTTCGCCAATTATTTTGTGTGGCGTCTTATCGGAGGTTCAACTGTATTACCGTATTTATTGTCTGCATGCGTGATCAGACGAAGCCGGTCGGAGAAATAAATCAAGTTAACAAATAGCGTTTCTTTGTGCTGCTCACTAGTGTTCATGAAAAAAAATAGTTTGTTGTTTTCTTGTACACCCTTGTTATGTAAGTTTAACTCAGTAAGTAGACTTGTATATTTTTCACCTCTTTTATTTGACATTTTGTTCATCATGCTCCTGAAATCGTTGAACTTTTTAATTTCTTTGATTTCTTGCTTACAGTTTCTTAATTCAGTATGGGCCTCTTTTGCTGCTTGAGTGTTCTTTTGCATTCAGCGATTCTCCTTTCATGGTACCTGATGAAGGCGTTAACACATAGTCAACCACCTCTTGTTCTTTCGTCTTTCTTATCTTTTTAATGTCTATTTTAAAGGCTTCGTCCGCTCTTGCGTTGTATTGTAATGTCATTGCAGCGTGTCTTTGGACATGTTCCTCTTTGGGAATGCCTATTCAGTGCTTTTAAAGCCTCCTCTGATTGTTCTGTTATTATTTTTTCTTCTGAAAGTGCTTCACTGTAATAGCGGTGTTTTCAGTTCTAATTTCTTTTGTGATCCTGTGATTCGTATTTTTGGTTTAAGGTGGACAGGTGGTTCCGTGTTCTGTTTTCCTTCTTTTCATTCTTCTTTTGCAGAGCGTTTCTTGGGGATCTTTGAGCTTGTTCTGGGTCAGGTTCAGAAAGGTTGTTTTCTTGTCGTCGTTGTTTCAGCATTGACCTCCATTTCGTCAATGTCTAAACATCGACCCCTCTACACAGTCTGGGACCAAAGCTCAAGCGACTCTCGTTAACAAGCGCCTACGTCAAACTCGAAAGCAAACTCTCATTTTTTTTGTAATTTAATTAATAGCTTTTATTATTTTTTTCACACTTAAATAGTGAATACAAAACAAAAACACTGCAAAAAGTTAACAAATCACTTAAAAAATACCACAAAAATTATCCAAACAAATTCCGTTGTACGCTCTTTAGATTACATTACATTCAGGATTACATTACACTACGTAACACGCATATTCCTGACACCTCTTCAGCTACGAGCAGTTACAAATGGCAAAAATTTCATCCATTTCTTAAAATGTGTGGTTAGTTTGATCCTCCTGTTAGTTCTTGTCTTTTCTACTTGATAAAGTGCCTTGATCTTGGTATTAAAGACTTTATTCGCATCACTAGACTTTCAGCTAGGAAATCCGAACAGATGAAAAATTTTTAGGGGACAAAAATATGCCTATACTAAAATACGTTCAACTATGCTATGTTTAAGTGGTTTTGAACTATATCGTAGTTGGGTGCCCCTGATATGTATTACTCAATTTACACTTATAGATAAATAGTTTAGCTGCTAGAATCAAATGATTGAGAATGAAAAAAAAAAACTCCCATTTTCAAACTCACATTTTCGAAAACAGACTCCCATTTTCCATCTCCCATTTTTTTAAAACAAACTCCGATTTTGGAATTCAAACTCCGAGTTTTTTGAAAACAAACTCCGATTTTCAACAAAACAAACACCGATTTTTCAAGTCAAACTCAAATGTCCCTTTAAGCTTCCGTACATATACCCGTCTAGGCGAAATAAGAGAGTAGTGACCTCTATACACCGGGCCGTTTCAGCGCCTACTGGTACGGTTAAACAAGCATGTTTACCTCGTAGTTTTATATAAGGCAACCATTATTTCCCGGATGTAATAATGGTGTAACCATTCTACCCGGTAGCTTACTCGTTTCTATCCGTATACGCGACGGTTAATTTAACCCCCCCCTCCCCACCCCTCCGTACCCGTAGTGTCCCCCGTTCACTGGGCGTAGAAGTTCCTAGCATGCCATTCGGTAGAGAGACCCTGGGAACGAGGAATAAACTGGAAGTCAGCCATTAGTCAGTAATCAGTGCATTCCGTGAAAGAAGCTAAAGAACAATCGCGATATTTAGAGGAAATTCATCAAACGCTTCCTTCCTCAGATCAGCGGCCTTAGGTAAGACTTGTACATTACATATAGAATACTTCATAGAAAGTGCACGCGTGATTATGGCATTTAATACCACCTAGTTGTTAGGAAGCTCACTTCACTTCCTGCGCTTACTCGTATCAGTTCGTGTTAAGACTCATTCCATTGTTATTAACTTTAGAATACCCGGCCACTTACTTGCATCTCTTTGAATGACAAGTATGCTCTTTGTTATTCCTCGTTGAGGTTTAAAGTGTAAATAAAGTGGCCGAGTATGCTTAAGGGTGCATTCATTCGATTGACATTATCTGGAAGAGGAATACAATGACCTGTTATTTCAATTGCGGTCAGTGTAAAACGCAGACTGCGGACTGCAGACTGCAGACTGCGGACCAGGGGTAAAATGCAGACTGAGTGTAAAATGCAGACTACAGACTGAGAGTAAAATGCAGGCTAGGGGTAAAATGCAGAATTAAGATCGACTGCAGACTCTTTAAACATTTGTGCTCCTTCCTCTCCACATAGGTGAATTATAGCCTTAGAACAGGCGTTTTATTGTATTGAATCATTTTTTGACTCGCCCCAACTCTCGGTCAGTCGAAAGTCCAAATCGATGGCACAGCAAAATACGCCTGCTATTCAGGCTAGGTGATTAGCCAGCTGTGCAAACCATAATGGACATTGGAGCAAGTCATTGGTTTCATCTAAACACATTGGTACTTTAGGTTTTCCTGTGTAAATGTGCACTTCACTTTCCATATATCCACCGTTTTTCCTTTGGTCTTATATGCTAGTAGTTAACTCTTAACAACAGAATTTTATGGTTGTTTGAAAACATGTACCTTATCATCACTTATTTTTGTGAGACTTATTTTCCATGATTTCTGTAATTTAAAAAAATTCATGAAATTAAATTCCTGCGAAAAAAGGTGTTGCGAAAATTAAAGACACAAAATTTAGATATAAAAACCTTAATTAAAGTTTTCCATTTGCTAGGAGCATACATGGGGAGGAGGGCTCAAATTTCAGTTCAGCGCATATCCTTGTTCTTCATCATCTGACGCATTGCTGAAGTTTTAAAAGATCGATGTTATTTTGCTGATTTGTTGAATAATTCAGCCAGTTGCGTGTTACATTTCTATTCCATTATGGCTGAATAAAATGCAGAAAATTAATGGCAGTTTAAAACACGAGCACCAGTGTACACTGTACTTGTTTCAAGAACTTTAATTACCTTTATTTTTTCGTCAAAATCGTGAAATTTAAGTCCCACAAAATATTTCTCCTCCAAATTTGCTAAATTAAAGTCATGGTAAAATTAGTGATAATTAGGTAATAAAGAAAAAGCCATATGCAGCAGTATATTGAAAAACCTGCCGGAGCATGTGCCTTGTGATCAAGCAATTGTTTCCATACTAACCTTTTACAGGCACTCCTCACCTCACCTATCCTCTTCGCACCTCACGGCACAGAGTCCCTCCACGTTTCTTGGTTAGCCTTGTTAAAGTGAATTTTCTCTCCTTCTGGTTTCTGTAATAACAGGGTCTTCTGGAGAGGGTTATCAGACCTCAGCCAAACCCCCAACCTGGACGACCAGGGGACCACACTGTCTTAGTGTGGTCTCTATCCTTCGACCTGTTTGGCATGGGTGGCCCTAGCAGGAGTCAAAGACTCCAGGTGACATAGCTCTATGGGTCATTGAGACACACAAACTACTCCACCACTGTAAGGTGGTGGTCTTTTTGCACTGAGCAATCCAAAACCCATAAAATCCTGGTCTTTCATATCAATCATTCCAAAATTGGCTTTCTAGCAAATTTTCTCATAGTCTTTCCTTCTCTGGCATTCTTTTAATGTTTATCCCAGGCCACTGGGATACACATTATTGTACAAAACCCATAATACTCATATATGGTAACCTTAGGATTGGTACACTTGTCTGCTGCTTTGAAAAGAGGGATTGCCAGGCATTTTTATCTGTTACTCTATGAACTTATTGTAGTTTGTTATAATTTATGTGTTGCAGCTGCAAGCCAGTTGATGTCCCAGAAAATAAAAACAACTTACAAAGCTTCTACTAGTAAGGTAATAAAATTATAATTGCATGAATTACTCAGTTGGATACATTTTAATGTAAAATATGTGCAATCCCGCCATACAGATGTTTTACATGTACATGTATCTTGTTACACATAAAATAGCCCTCATCGAGCTAACAGGCCTGTCTTTTTAACTGTTTAGTACACCTAGCCTGATGGCATTGCTGAAATCCACCCATTGTCCATCAGCCAGTGGGTCATGCACACTACAGACAGCTAATGGGAACTCAGCTCCTCTGTTTGTTAAGCGTATAATAATTATCCTTGGTAGGGGCCAGTGATGCCCCACCCAATACACATAGTCCACACA